ATACGTTCACGATAAAAAAAAAGGGATTGGTTAAATGTTTCGATGGAATTTTTGAAATTGTGTGTTGAATTCTCGTATCGATATATATGGGGGAGTAGGTAAAATGGAATAGATTAAAGTGGTCGACGATTTTCCGTAATTGCCAAGAATCTTTGGGGGCAGAAAGCACGCCGCACACGAATATTAATAGAAAGCTTTGAAAATAGCTTAAACGTTGTGGCCTAAACGTTGCTAAGCGCGCTGCCCAGGTATTCAAGGAATGCGTTTATCCGGTTTACGTGTGTTTTTAATCCACTCGGATATATAAACCTTAACATACGAAGAATCTCACTCACATGTATATATATAAAATTGCAACATCATGGCGGATGTACAAATGCATAGAATTAAATATTATTTTTATGGTGCATTCTTTTGCAATTGAATTTGATATTAAATATTATTTTTATTTATTTTATTTTTATTTTTTTTTTTATTATAATTCAAAGTGTCTCGTTTTAATTCTGTAATTATGTACGTAATTAAATACATAGATTAATTATGAAATAATGTTCGTAATTAATTTATGTATTTTATTTTAATTTTTTTTTTTTTTTTTTTTTTACTGTTTTAATTGGTAATTAAGTTTTACAGTGTCGTTCATTTTTAGTTGGATATTAAATATAAAATGACAATTGTAATTGATAATAATTGATAAAAGATATTAAACAAAGTCAAAATAATAATAATAATAATAATAATAATTTTTAATTAAATATAAATTACAAATTTTTATTTGGAAAATATATAATATTGTTCTTTAATTTTATTTTATTTTTTTTTTTTGTAACTATTTATTCAAAATTGGTTGAAAAAATATAATTCAATGTAAAATTAAAAATTGTAATTTGTAATAAATAATAAAAGATATTAAACAACATAATAATAATAATAATAATATTAATTGTTAGGTAAATATAAATAACAAATGTTTATTTGACAGATACATAATATTGTTCTTTGATTATTTTTTTTGTTTAAAATTATTGAGAAAAATATAACATGGCGGATTCAATGTTTAAGTACTACTAAAACCCCTTTTTCTACTTGGTATATATTCAAAACTTTATATTTATTTACTTACGTGAAAACATAGAAGGTAACATCTGGGAAAAGGATAAGGGTGAATTTCTGAATGTGTAGGAAAAGAGGGGAATATAAAACCACCAACCACGAGAGTAGAAACTGATGAAATATTCGAGTGAAAGCTCTTACTTCAGATCATACTTTAGTTATTTATTAGCTTTTAGATAACTTTGTAGTATAATGGAAGTCCTCAAGATGATCCTCAAAATGATCAATTTTTCTTTTTAAATATTTTTTTTTTTTTTTTGAACAGAACTTTTTAATTCGTGAAATATTTTTTCAAAATATATTTTTGAATAGAATGATACTTTGAATTGAGATTTTTGATAGGATACTTTTTCCAATTATTTTCAGATAGATTAATATCTCAGTGACGTATTATCACGTCATCTGGATTCATATACACACATCGTATTCACACATACTTCATTTAACATGAAGCTTTTAATAAAAATTTTATGTATATATGATAAAAAAAAATTGTATAGAGAGTTTCAAAACAAATGTATATTATTTCATTATATTACAATATTATAAAACAATAAATGGTTAATTAATAAAAAAAATTAGGTTTTGATAAAAATATATGCATTTTGTGCAATACTAATATAATAATACTAATATTTATTGTATACTAATATAACAATACTAATACTTATTGCAATACTAATTTAACAATACTATAATATTTATTGTATTGGAATCTCTAGCACTTGAATACGCTATCTGGTGGTTAAATTCAAAATTAGAGTAGATAGGTCGAATTGCTACATCACGTGGGATCTCTAGCACTTGAATACGCTATCTGGTGGTTAAATTCAAAATTAGAGTAGATAGGTCGAATTGTTACGCCACGCCCCTATCAAAAATCCCAATACAATGATAATAATACCAATACTTATTAATAAATATATATATAATAACGATTATAATAATAAATTCAATAAAATAATTACCAAAAATAACAAAAAAGAAAAAAAAAACAATTAAAATGAATGACTTTTCATTATAAACATTAAAGACATAAATTTACAATAAAAAACAGATAGAGATAGTAAAGTAGTATCAGTAATAAAAGTTAAGTGGTAGTAGTAAACTATTCAACGGTGAGAAAACAAAAGTGTACGTACTACACTATCGTTTTCATTCGTTGGTTGGTTTTAAGTTCGTTCGATGATGCCGCCTTTGGTCAGAGTATCTTTTCCTGTGACACACTAATAGTATTAGTAGTAGTAATAGTAATAGTATGCCTATGGTGGTGCTATGTGCTCGCGCATCGTTTAATCGCGGTAGTGTGTCATTCTAAAAATAGATTAGGAGATTTGAAAGAGCTAAAATGAGAGAGGAGGAAACCGGAGAAAGAAAAAGAGAGAAAACAAAAAAATAGAAAGAGAGAAACAAAATGAGAATCAAATAAATAAAAAAAGGAATTAAACAAGAAGAAAAAGAAAAAAAGGGAAGAGAATAAAAGGGGTGGGGGTGAGGGGAAGAATGAGTTAGTGATGAAGAAAAGTGAGAAAAAGAAAGAGAAATTTGATCAAGCGTTGAGTGAGAATGAGTAAGGAGAGAGAGAGAGAGAGAGAGAGAAAGAGACTTGGCACGGAGTCGGTCGTGAACCCGAAGAACGACCTCGGAGTAGTAACGTTGAAGAAACTTTACTGTAAAGAGTGACAGAGAAAGAAAGATATTATATCGTGCATCTCATGAGTGAAAGAGAAATAGAGAGAGTAAGAAGTGTATGTTGAAATAGGATGAAAAAGTGGGAAGAATGAGGTGGGTGGGTGG